TATAGTTTTTTTAATCATAATAAATAACGCATATTTAACAACGACGCTACAAGCAGAGAAGAAAGGTAAATAAAAAATGTATATAAAACTTTAAAAGCCAACTGTATTATAATTGCTCTATTTATTTATAGTCATTGGTCTGTATCTGCTGATCACACCAGTCTTAAAATATGTCTATTGAAATATCTTTTGCCGATATGTTAAGTTAAGCTTATCTGCAGTTCAGCTTCCACCACAGCTATGATGTATTTAAGTCGGCTGACAGCCGCTGCTTATATTATAGGCTTTTACAGTTGAAAGCTTACTCCTCAGTAGAATCATCGTTAAGAGATGGAGCTTAGGCTGTAATTGACTATCTCTATCATAGCTGCTTTGCTCTCAATGCTACTTTGACTGCACGAAAGCTGACTTGCTCTGTTTCCCCAGCTCTGATCCTAAAGCTGCGGCGATGACTGTTATATCAAAGCTGTATATATTGTCCGACACCCATCTCGTACCCTTTTGTTAATAGTATTGTTTATCACTTTCAATCACTTTGTATAATCCCATTATTATTGAATTCTTGCATTGTCCTTGATTCAAAGTACCATTTAATAAATCTGCTAAAGGAACACTCTGCAAGCAGTAAATTGACCATCTCTCAGACAGTCATGATCCAGAAGCGCCGGTTCATGAATGTCATCTAGAGATTGGAACCTGAAGTCTGTCTGCTCTTGTAGTGTGAGAAAACGTCCATAGGTTTTAGCCGCAGCTCAAACAGTCGAGTCCTCGTATGCTTGATTTTCATAGGCCTTTAATACAAGTGACTGGGAACTTCGTTGCTGGAGGAGGCTCGCATATTGAATAATTTTGCTAAGTAGATGTTGGGATTCGGGATCGAAAGACGCCCGGCTCGGTGGTTGAATTACGTTAGATATTCATAGGCTAATAAAGAGGACGAGCCGGTAACTAAATGAATAAATTAGCTAGCTATTTAGCAATTAGTTATAACTCGCAGACTAGTTATTTAAGCTGGGTTATTTGGTTAGTTGTGGCAACTTGGTTTATTAATAATACTTTTCTATGCTTTATATTTTTATCTCCTCCCCCTGGCGTTTTGGCAAATGCTTCTTCCATCAAACTATCATTCATCTCTCAACCGCTACATTCGCTGCATCCCTCCCCTCTCCCCCCTTCTCCCTCTCCCTCCTCCCCCCTCAGATATCTTATATCGTCTCATCTCGTCTCAATCTCCATTGTCAATTGCATCCCGATTCCATCTCAATTCCGTTTCATTCCCATGTCTTGTCCTGTCCCACTGATCAACCGCCAAGATATTTTCTAGTCTCTCGTTTCTGTTCCCCCCCCTCGGGTCAAGTCTCCACTCGCTCTAACACCAACCACCCACTCTCTTTTCTTTTCTTTTCTTTTCTTTTTTTTTTTTTTTTGGACGCTGCAAACCACTTTAAATATTATCTCACTAACTGACTAGCTCGCTTACTAAACCACAGCTGCTCGCTAGTTCTTGATTCCAGCTGTTTCTGCCTTGTCCTGGACTCTCCCTGTTCCCCTCTGTCTGCTGTGTCTGCTGTCTGTCGGCCTATCGCAAATCCTCTCATCCTGTCTCACCCGGTCAGCCCAAGAACTGTCACTGCACACTGAAACCATCCCCGTTCAACAGACATCTCCACTGTTGACGCATCCTGTTGCACCCGCACAATTCCTTGCTGCCCTGTCTGTCTTCTCCCCTTTACACGGCGATCTCATTCTCGTCCATGCTCTTTTGAACGACTTCCACCATTCTTCCCCCCCCCCCCCCCCCACCTTTTTTTTTATACAGAATCAAAAAACAAAAAACGTGTCGTTCTCCGTCCCGCTCACCATTTAGGACCTCCCGCGGTCCGGTGTGATCATATCAAAGATCGAATTGGATCCCTCCCCTGCATCCCTTTGGAACCAACACGATGAATTCGGTGCACAGGCAATTTGGGAAATTTATGAAGCGGTCCGCGGACGACAGCCATGTTTCCGTTCTGCTCAAGGATTTCGATGATGCTGATAAACTTCTGGCCAGGGTGCGCTGAAATCCCCTTTCATTCCTCCCCCCTCCTCTCCTCTGTTTCTATATATCTCCAAGAGCCAAGTTGGGTTGAAGGGATGGGTGTAAACGAGAGAAATACAAAATTATTAAACAACGGTTCTGACATTTGCCTATGTCGATAGGTTATCGACTCGTGCAAAGCATGGCGCGATGCGTGGATGTCTATTCTCACCTATCAATCCCGCCTCGTTCAGGAATTCGACTCCCTTTACAACCCAATAGTCGGGTCCTCAGAGCCCTCAACCTCCCACTCTCCCGTAGAGACACCAGAGGTTACCCTTGCAAGGACCTCTCGACTCAACGAGGCATACGAGGAATTGAAGACTGAGCTGCTGACCGAAATAAACAGCGTGGATGAGAGAATGATCAAACCGGCAATGAACGCCAAGGACTATCTGCAACCCATGAAGAAAATCATCAAGAAGCGTGATGACAAGAAGGTTCGTGGGATTATCCACCCTGCGAATATACGGAATAAACTATGTTGGGGATGTCTCCCTTGTTGATGCTTGATACTAATGGATGTTCCATTCCAGCTGGATTTTGAGCGTTACCAAAACCGAGTGGACACTTCTCGGAGAAAGATGAAGCGGTCAGATAGAGATAATTCTGCTTTAGCCAAGGCTGAGATAGACTTAAGTAGAGCAAAAGATGTCTGTACCCATACTCCATATTGAACAACCTGGACCACAGTACTAACAAAATCATAACAGGAATACAATGCAGCAGATGAGCATCTTCGCACGCATCTTCCACCACTGATCACTGCCACATTCTCCATACTCCCGCACCTGCTGGCTGCACAGATTGATATTCAAAACAATCTCCTTGCACTCTACTACACGACCCTTCACAACTACTGTGAACAAGAAAATTTCCCTTCCCCACCACCCCCAATGGACCTGATAATCCAAACCTGGGAACGAGATATTCTCCCAGCCCAGCGCGAAGTGGAATCCATTGGCTGCGTCGCCTACCGCAGGGGCTCACGACAATCCAGAACCTCCGAGGAGCACAGAAACGGTACATACCCAAATGGCCTGGGATCCCGCCGTCCCAGCAGCCAGTCCGTCATTTGCAAATCATCCGCTTCCCCCATCAGCAACATCCGCCCGCCCTCGCCCGTCTTCGAATCAAAACCACGCTCAAACGACCACTCCCCACCATCCATCAATGCAATCTCTTTCACCAAACCCAGGTACTCCCCCCCAATCAGCAGCGGTCCCCCGTCCGAAATCTCAGATTATTCTACCAACACCAACACATCCGCCGGCGTTACTCCATCCGGCTATACCCCCGCCGGCCCACGGATGGACTACTTTAGTCGCGAGAGGCAACCCTCTGGAGCTGGTGGAGGTTCTCTGGGCATGACGCAGATGGCCGCAGCGGCAGCTAAGAAGAAGCCCCCACCTCCACCTCCACCTCCACGCGCAGCTTCCAGCCATGCCGTGTTCGTAACCGCCCTCTACGACTTTCCCGGCCAGGGAGCTGGGGACCTTGCGTTTCGAGAAGGCGATCGCATTCGGGTACTTAAGAAGACCGACAGCACTGATGACTGGTGGGAGGGTGAGCTGAAGGGTATGAAGGGGAGCTTCCCAGCTAATTATTGTCATTGAGTGAGATGATTTTCGATGTTGAAAAAGAAAATATTAAAAAAAAAAAAAAGAAAAACATCGTGCTCCTACAAAATAAAAAGTGATATTAAAAAATAGCCTCCCCAAAAAATTATAACCCGTTCTACACCCTTCCTTTTGGCATGTATCTTCAAGATCTTTTCTATCCAGTCACCCTTCTTTTTGTAAATGAAGAATCCCCAAGCCAAGCATATTCACCGTCTATATTCCTTGTCATAGAGATTAAACTTGACCTTCTTTCGTTTCCGTCCTTTCCTTTCCCTTATTTTTTTTTTTTTTTTTTTTTTTTTGGGTAGCTGTTTCTATGTACCGTACCGACGAAATCATTTCGCTGAACCCCTTATAAAACAACCCTTTCCCTCATTCTGATCGATGCGTTCGATTTTAAACCCGGTCACACCCAGTTCGTTTTCTCTCATTAGTTAGATTTGAAGAGACACCTTGCCTACCCCCATGTAACGTGAATTTGTGAGCTGCTCAATAGAATAAGAGAAACTTTGGGAACAATCTGGTTTCCCAAAGTATCCCTACGTTTTTTAACGCCTGCCTGCTTTAACTTTTAATTATTTCTTTGTTTCTCACGCTCTGAAACCGGGCCGTGGCAAGAGACGAAACCGGAAATGGGGTTTAATTTGATTGAACATTTTCTCACGCTGTGGTGCTGTTCCATTTTTCACCCCTGGGATAAAGGTCCACACGGCAGAAATGCTAGGCTATTGAATGGATATTCAGTTCTTCCTCTTGCCAATATACATACATGCATGTGTATTTCGGGTGTGGGGTTATAAATGCGTCGTTTTGCAGTAGTTCGGATAACAATGTAGATGAGTAGCAAATACAATTGTTGCATACAACGTGAGAAATGATACAGGGAGATATTAACCTGCCATGGAACACGAAACGAGCGGACTGGATATCCCAATCTGTACAAGTGAAAGTGAAAGCGAAAGCGAAAGCGAAAGCTGTCCATACTCTATATGGAACTCAGGATATAACCCATCCTCCCTTCCTCCCTCCTTCCAGTAAACCAGGAGAAGAATCGACAGAGACAAAATATTATATCCCCAACTCCTTCGTATCTCCAATTAAATATCCATTAAACCTTTCATGATGTCAAAAACCCTGCGTATCTTTAAAATCTCAGTAAATAACGTAGATATATATATATATATATATATATATATTCGTGAGCATGTGCTCGGGTTAAGACGAGGCTACGCGAAGTTTATACATACCGTACACCATAAATACATATATTGCTTGCGACATACTCAACTTGCAGGTGCTCAAGTCGACGCGCGACTCCACCACGATGAGAAAAAGCAGCGCTGGCTTGGACTTGGAGTGGGTAGCGGGGGGGTTAGGTTTGGCGAATCCGTCGACCACGAACTTAGGGATGGTGACTGTGAGCCGATGAACGCCGGTGCAGGTGGGCCTAGCCGTGAGACGGGATCCGGAGATGCAGCGTGTGCTCCCGCGGCAGGATGCGACGCTTTGTTATCCTGGGGACCGCCGCCGCCGCCGCCGCCGGCGACGGAGACGGAGACGTTACTGGGGTGTTTCATTTCGAAGACGGAGCTGTTGCCGAGAGACTGCGCTTCGACATCAGGAGGTTCGAGCCGGGCCCATGGATGCGGTGAATATCCTCGGGTGGCTATTGCGTGTCGAAAATTGGACGGGGGGTGGAAATAATCCCACACCTGAGATTGAAATGTGGATAGAGCACGGCTGAAGGTGGTCAGTCCCAAGTAGGCCACCACCCATCCAAAAATCAAGAGGCCAATGTGGAGATTTGCGAGTCGCCGGAGACTGGCTTGGAGTTCCGGATATTTCCCTGCGTCGGAGAAGTCGTCCCATTCGGCATGGCTCTGTTTGGCTTGCGCGGAGGGATACGTGATTATCCAGGCAGCGCTCAGGATGAATGTGCAGTAGAGCTGATGCATCGCGGCGCTGCTGTTGGGGTAGGTGCTCTCTGGGGATCTATGTCTCGTGAGACGCCAAGCGCCGTAGAAGATCAACAGCGCCAGGAAAAAGGCGGATAATGTGTGCGACAGCAGGCTCTGGACTCGTATGATGTTGGGAAAGCGTCTATCCAGCCCGCTGATGGCAACCTCGTAGGAAACCCACTGGCAGGCAAGGAACACAATCATGGTGCAGTTCATGACGATGTAGCCGGCATTTATGAGGAACTCGATGCGCGTCATTGCAGGCCTCTGTGCGGTAAACGACAACGAGCTGGTCAGCGTGACCGCCATCACACAGAAGAAGACGGGCAGCAGCAGCATGAGCCAGGTGGTCGTGTCTTCTGCTTTGGGGCGGTTAGCATCGTCTGGAAAACAGATGGGACTGCTAAAGGAGACATACCCATGGCGGTTAAGTGGGACGACCTATCCAGGGGCGGCTATTTTTTTATTCTTTTTTATATTTTTTATTTATTTATTATTTTCTTCTTCTTCTTCTTCTTCTTCTTCTTCTTCTTCTTCTTCTTTTTCTTCTTCTTCTTATTATTATTATTATTAATTTTTTTTTTGTTCTCTTTGGGTACAACACTTTGTCTTGCTGTGTTTTCCTTCCGAGAGCAGGTAGATTTCTGTTAACACCTGGAATGCAACTTTGATCTGAGACTTGAACGAACCCTATGCCGAGGTGTTCGTTTGACAAGTAGGCTGGGCTGTCTTCAAGGTAATTCTCGACGTCTGCGGTTGCTTGCGGTTGCTTGCGGTTGCTTGTAGTTAGTGGGAGAATTTTACGCAGGAGATGCGAGGGGGTTCGAGGCTATAAAACGAACGGAACGGGGACCAAAGAGCAACAGGAGGAGAAATGACGCAAAGACTAAAAAGCCCCAGGGAGAATTGAATGAGGTCAATTTAAACCTCCTCATTTCGAACTATATATCATTGTTGCAAGAAGTGTAAAATGGCAGAGGGGCCGGAAAGACTAGCATCGGGGAACCAAAATTGCCTTCACCCTTGCCGACAGAGGCAAACCTAAACCGTGACAAGGACCAACGGCGTCGTCGCTCTGGACTGTATACTCCGTTGCGCGGAGCATTTACCGTCAGCCTCTGTTGGCCAGAGAGAGATAGCGGGGACAGGCGCACTATGTATATATGTATGTATGTATGTGTATATGTATATGTTATGTATACTCAAACGCGGTCATGGCGGCTCTGCTCCTTAGCTCCCTACCACATGGCCCAGCCCTAAGCGCCGCCGCGTCACTAAACTTATGCAAGTTGATGCTAAGTAACTAACTTATGCCGGAGCCATGCACTGCCACTTCCTTTATCTTCACAAAGTTATCCATTCAAAGTGTTTTGGGCCGGGGAAGGGGAAGGAGAAGGAGAAGGGGAAGGAGAAGGGGAAGGTCTAACCCAAAGCCAACGAAATAATAATAAAAAAAAATAAAAAATAAAAAAAATAAAAAAAAAAGGGTTAGCTCGCTCTTGCGAAGCGCAGGAGGAAGTTTCGGGGGGCGGGAAAAGTTCGAAGACTTTTCCCTCAAACGTTTCGGGCTTAACTGATTGGATGGTTCACCTTATTCGATGAAGCAACTAACTTCGACCAAACGGCGGAAAGGCTGATGACTAAGCTGCTTCAGCTGGAATTAGTTAACGCACGGCAAGAAATGACGTGACAGGGTGTTTTGTTAGTGATATCATCATCATCATCATCATCATCATCATCATCATCATCATCACACCACCGAGCGGCGGACACTACCGAAGCAGCGGATTCTCTCTGTGAAAATCATCAAATTTTCAACGTTTTCAACAACCAACACCCGCTTAAATATTGAAAAATATTAATAGAATAGTATCCCGATCTAGAGGTAGCATGTCTCTGTGTCTTTCTCTTTGTCTTCCACTCATTCTCTGCTTGTAGAATCTTGATTTCTTGGTGAAGAAGGAGATTTGTATTCAGAGTCCTCTGTGCAGCCCTTCTCAAGATGCTGAAGATGAGACATTGAGCATAGCTGTCTCTTTTTATTATAACTTCTCTACAGGTGATGAATCCTAGGATCAAGCTGGCAAGTAATTTGAATGTTTGAAATGCTGAAGACGTTAAGCCCTCATCGTTGATTAATGATGATAGTGATGGATGGTTGGTGTTGATGTATACAGTTGAAAGTTAATTTTTGACATGTAGATCTTCTTACATACAGATAGATAAAGAGAAAGAAAATTATTTTTATTAATATAATTATTTCTGCAATTATTATTTCTTTATCAGCTTTTTCAAAAAATTATCAATAGCTGGTAATTGAAGAAGATAAGATATATGAAGATATATGCAGAGATAGATAATATCAACTGTATAAAAATTATTAAATTCTACAGTCAGTTGATACTGTGATTATTCGGAACTTAAATACCTTCTTAAATCAGTATAGATCTATTACATCAGTGATTTAGCCCATTAGCACTTATAGCTTATTCTTCAATTCTGAGAAGCTGATTTTTAATATCAAGCTGCTTGATATTTCTTTCTTTAAAAATCATCACTGATAAAATAAAACACTCTTTTGATTCTATACATTCAATAATTATGACATAAATTTTTTTTTGAATAAACTGTACATTATCTCTCACTGTACTCAGCTGCAGTAATGACTTTGAAGACTACAAAATCTCATTGCAAAGTCAGTCTCATCCAAGTTTCAGATATCATCTTCATAATCTCGTGTTCTTGAATAACTTCATGTATCATCTTTAATTAATGTTTTATAATTTTTTGATTTGTATACAGCAATGATCAACTGTATGTGAGATTTTTGATAAAGACAATTTGAAGAAAAATGTAAAGAAATGATGCGTTGAAGATAGTTGAGTATTTGATGATTTCAGAGAGAATCCACCGCTTGGTGGTGTTCGCCGCTCAGAAGTGAAGTACGTTAACATTATCATCATCATCATCATCATCATCATCATCATCATCATCTTTAATGGGATCTCTAAAGGTGTGCGCTATGCACTGAGACTATAAAGTAGTTCTGGCACCACTCAAAATTGCTTGCGATACCTGAACGGTTGCTTAAAGGATGAGAACAGCTTTACGTATAGGTATGTATGCATGTAATGTACAGAGCGCTATTCGGGTTATATAGAAAATGGAAGAAGGAGTGCGGCATTGCGGACATTAAAGAGAGACAGAATGGATAACGTAAAAGAGTGCCTGTGTTTCTGCATGTCTCCAAGCCAGGGGGTAACCAAACAGCGGAGAGTGGAAAACGGACGGATATCATAGACAGATATGAATGGTAATTATGCTACCTCTTCAAAAGCCCACAACAGAAAAAGACTGCTCCATGACGCCTTACCATAGCTTCGTTAGCTGAGTGGAAAGTGATGCAAGACATGTGCCTCTATGAGAGATTGCCATTCACTGGCTTGATGTGGCAAAGTTGGAACGGGACTAGAGAAAAGCGTTCTCCGTGGTGTTTTCTGCTACGCCCATTTGTTGTCGTCTTCTCTGACTTAAAAATATATCCACCATACGCTTGCTGCTAATCGTCGAATGGATGTCTCCAAGAGCTGACAAGTCGTTCTTCGTGATTCTTCTAACCCCCCTTGAATTCTCGTTGTTCACTCGACCATCATCTCTCTTGTTCCGAACAGAGCTAAAATTGGTGGCATACGTTAGTTTTCTAGCCTCGTTTACTTTGCCAGCCAGGCTACCTTCTTCAGTGGTATTTTGAACAGACATCGTACTGCGTTCCGTCTTTGAAGCTTTCGTGGGCGTCACTGGCGTTAGAGCGGAGCCGGAATACCTGGGCTTCGCGTATACCAACGGAGAACTGCTTGGACTTCGGGATATACTTTTTCGAGGAAGAGAACTGGATGGGGTAATTGGCTCGGAATCACCGTCGCCGCGTTTGATATGGATACTCCGAGGAGACTCTGATCTAGCCACCACTGATGGTCTTTGAGCAGTCGCGTGAGAAATGGAGATAGATATATCCGGAGACAGCCGTAGTGGCCGTGAGAAGTTATTCCGCGTAAACGATTTTAATTCCACTAGCGGGAGCCTCCGGTCAGCACAGGACGACGATGATGATCTTTGAGGAGATTCCTCCTCGGGCGATTCACTGTCGTGTAATTTAGGTGGCATTTCTTCGGCCTTGTTGTCGTACATTTCGTCGTTGATTTGAGTGCTTTCTCGGTAATGCGTGTTAGGGATCTTGCAGTATTGAGATATTGTAAGGCTATCGGGAGTGGCATCAAGAAGATCCATTTGCAAACTCATCCACGATTTCCAATCAGCACTACCCCTGGTCGGTCTATCGCCATTTGCATAACCACCGTATTCCTTAGGCTTATATGGCAGCCTCTCACTTGCGAGGATAGTAACGGTGCCGCGCTCATCGCTTGATTCCGAAAAGCTCAAATCCCTCCGGCTTCCATTGTTTCTCGGAGTCTCTCCACTTGTTCTTGAATAGACACTTGGCGAGATGGGGGTTCGCTCCACGGCATCGGGTCGTGATATGATCACGCTCCCAGTATCACCTTCCGAACCCATCGCTCGTTTATATGAGGAAAACAGCGGAGGAACCAGGGGGTTCGGGAACGCGGCTCTTGCTCTAGAGCCAGATTGGAAAAAGTAAGGTCTCGACTCGCGCAAAGATTCTCTTGAACGATGGCGACTCAAGTTTTCGTTACGCTGAGCGACTTCTTGGGGAGTAAAACCAAGTGCATCTCTGCGGTAGCTTGAGCCGACAGACATCTGGCTTCGTAAGCTTGGTGATTCGCTTCGCCTTACGGATAGAGCTCTGATGGTTTTCATTGATACCTCGCTTGGAATGTGACGAATGGTACTGCTCATTTGGTGCGAATGGACTGACGACGATGGGCTGTACATGGATCGTCGGATTGTTACGGCTCTAGGAGTAACATCACCTTCGTTGTGGTGTTGGGACTCATCAATATGTCTCACTAGGGCAGAGTATACTCGCTGGCTGTCAACTACCCCATAAGAGATATCACTGTTGCCCTCTGTGCACAAGGGCTTCCTGAAAACAGAGTATCCGTCGTTGTAATGGAAAGACGTTGGAGATGGGATGGGTTCTGGTGGAGCACCAATTTCTTGAATAATGGCAAGCCGATGTCGGTCAGATACAGCGTCTCTAGCCGCCATCGTACTGACGGTGGTTGAATCTGTCCAACTGGTGACCCGCGAGCTTGATGCATAGCTGTCTGAGCTTCTCATTGTTCTCACACTAGCTGGGCGGTTGCCGAAGTTCGTTGTCCCTATATACATAGATTAGACCATTAAAAAGTGGATTGAATTAGGATCACAAAAGAGGGGCAATACCAGTGGAGTCAGAACTGATGAAATCACTGAATCCTAATCTGCGAGTACGTTGCCGTTC